AAAAAAAAAACCAACAGCAAAAAAAACCCAACAAGAGTAAATAAAAAAAATTACATCAACAAAAACAACAACAACAACAACAAAAGATACATAATGCAGGTGCAATTTGTAACAGAATTCACATACCTTGTTCTCTCACCTGAACATTTTTGCTTTCTGAACATCGAGCACAATAATATTTTGCAGAGCTTGCTGGTGAGGAGTCTTACTGGATCTTCTGGTACGGTCTACATGTAATAAATGGCGGCCACGAAAACCAAGCACAAAGGATAACTTAGTTTGAGAACTTGAAAAGATGGCCGGTGAGGGGGGGAGTGGGAAGTGTTTTTCGGCGCTCGCAACTGCATAAGATCATATGAGCGCGAGGGACACATAAAATATTTTCACTTTCAGTTGGTAGGAAATTTTGAACTTTTCCCGGGTGCCGGCCGGAGGCTATACTCTAATCGATTTTGGACAACCAATGGATCATTAACATGCACAACTTGCACACAGGACCTCCAAGATTTTTTGCACTTACCAGAAAAAGGCTAGGTGTAGATCTTACCTATCATAAGATCAGGGGTGTGACTGAAAGACAGCTGTAAGAAGGAGCCATGGTGCTCCTAAAATCGATGACAGTAGGCTTCGGCCGACACCCAGGCAAAAATTCAGAATTCCTACCAAACTAAAAATGTTTTATGTGTTGTGTCTCGCGCAGTCATAATATGACCCTTGGATATGACCTTATGCAGTTGCGATCGCCGTAAAACATTTACACACACACAAACACACACCCACACACACACACACACACACACACACACACACACACACACACTCACACTCACACACACACACAAACACACACTCACACACACACACACAAAGACTCACGGACACACGTGGCAGTCTGTCCCCGATGACGCGGTCTATCTCCTCCTGGACTTTCCTCACCACGTCCGGGTTGTTGAGCAGGAACATGAAGGCTGCCAGGAGGGTGGACCGGGTGGTCACGTGAGCTGTACACGCGGACACAGATAGGGGCGGGACGTTAGTTTGGGAATTTACTATTTTATACGGAGAGCCCGTGTGAGAGGGGGGAGAGGAGGGGTCTTGAAGTGGTAACATGGAGTAAAGTGGAATAATGCGTGTCATGGGGAGGCGAGATGTATAAAAATGAAGGT